ATATACTCAATATATTATTAACATGTTAATTAATAAGACTATTATTTTATAACATTCTAACACGATTATAAAAATCAACAGAAATACATATATTACCGCTTTGATGCGATAATTTAATGTAAAAACAAATTAAATTAATAAATAATCATTTACGACGGCTTTAACTTCATTCCCTTATCTCAAATTTAACTTCAAATGTTTTTCTAACGAGAGAAAAGCTTCACTTGTTTAAATTTAAAAAGTTTCGCGCCTACAATCGCAAAGGTTGGCTTTGAAAACGAAAAGTTTAATGCTCGTCTCTGATTGGCCGGACAATAATGCATCTTTCCTGTGTGGCTATTCTTTTAGAAATGTCTTCTCAAAATAAGCTCTTGTAATTTTTGGAAATTTCTTATAGTAAAAGTGTTAAGATTTAAAAACTTTTTATCAAAACGCGTTCTTTTAATGGTCCATTACAGGAGGTACGTATTTTTTTATTTCTCCCCCAAACGATTTTCGTTATTTTTTGAGATAAAGTTTCAATAATGCAACCCACGCCGTGATAAATATTAAAAATGATAAAACTTGTAAATATCATGTTGATACCCAACTAAATTCGTTAGTTTCTGCAAACTTGCATTATTACAAGAAGTTTTTTCATATATTTGTTGGTAGTAGAACGATAATTTAATATTTTGATATCTGGACATCTTCGTAATAGTCCAATACAAATCCAACCAAATTACAAGCACTTGGTTACACAAGCCTTTTATAATTGTCATGTACAACAGGCTTTTAGTGGTTGTTTTAGTTATTTGAAGTTAGAATTTTGTAAAATTACTGTTTTGAACAATAACATAAAGTATGAGAACTTTTGTTATATTTTGTTTCAAATTCACTTGTTTTACCTAAAACAAAAGCATACAAAGCAGTATCATTAACAAGAGAAAGTATTCTAACGTCAAGTATTAAAACAGTTTGCAAAATGGTAATTTGTTTTTCTTTGATACCTATAACACAATCGAAAACCTCACAGAGGTATAAAACTGTTAATTTTTCATTAATTTTCCACTTGCTATCTATAAAATCGATTGCTAAGACATTGTGTATGTTTTTACAGTATTTGAAATGGGAATTAGAGTTTTCAATGCTAAGACTTCTTCATCATAATATCTTCGAGTACCTACACAAACCGACTAGAAGTATTTCATCTGCAGGACCTTCAAAACCTCCTTCAATGCAAAGAAAATAAGATTTTCTTGTATTTTCATCGAGGCTTTCACCAACTTTCATAACTTAATAAGGTACGACTGCTACAGAATTGTTGATTTTTATAATACATGAATCCATTTGTTTTTCTTTTAACTTTACACTTCCTATATGTGTAACTAATGATAACTTTTCATTAATTTTGCACTTGCTATCTTAAAAAATCGATTGCTAAGACGTTTTTGTGTTTTTACAGTATTTGGAGTGAAAATTAAGAGTTTTTGATGCTAAGACTTCTTCAACATAATATCTTCATACCCACACGAATCAACTAGAAGTATTTTATCTACAGGACCTTCAAAACCTCCTTCAATGCAAAGAAAATAGGATTTTCTTGCATTTCTATCGAGGTTTCCATCAACTTTAATAAATTAATAAGGTACGAATTTAACTTTCCTTTAACTTTATACACTGCAACTTCGATAACCCCCCAGATATGTAACAAATGATAATTTCTCATTAATTTTCCACTTGTTACCTTATAAAATCGATTCTACATGGTAAAGAAATTAGGACTTTCTTGCATGTCCATTGATGCCAATGAGGTAAGAATTCTACACAGTTGTTAGTTTTAATAATAAATGAAAAGAAAACCATTTTCTTTTCATTTTACATTTTGCAACTCAATTGTTTTTATAATGTAAAGTGATAAGGACGTTTCAATATGGATACAGGATACGACCAAGTGAAAATATTTACTTGTAAAAATGTTTTCTAAATGTCTCGTAAAGTAGATTTTCAGTCTTTGCTTCACTCATTTGAGGTTAGAGTTTTGTAAAATTGCTCACTTGAACAATAACATCAAAATACGAGAATTTTGTTATATTTTGCTTCAAATTCATTTGTTTTACATAAAACAATGGCATACAGAGCAGTGTCATCAACAAAAGAAGGTATTCTTATGTCAACTGTTAAAATATTTTACAAAATAACTATTTGTTTTCATTTGGTATCCATAATACAGTCGAAAACTTCTCAAAAGCATTAAAATGTCAATTTTTCATCAATTTTAGGTTTTCTATATTATAAAACCGTATCTTACGACATTTTCTTGTTTTTGTATTAATTTGAAGGGAATGAGAGTCCTTAATACTAACATTCCTTCAACATATTACCAATACTCACACAGACGGGTTACAATATAAAGCATATCAACATAAAACAGTAAAACTAAATTATAATTAATTAACTATTTAAGAGCAACTTGCATTCTTAAATTAGTTGCTGTTTTACTTGCAATTTATGTTGGTCTTCCTTTAATGCATTAGAAGGACTAATTAATATTATCTAAATGATGTTACTAGCATTTTAAAATGCAGACATTGAAGAAGTCTTTTACGTTGAGTAAAACGTTTTTCGAATACAAATAAAAATGATTTTTACCTACTCGAATCGAATTCTAAAAAAATTGTTTTCGAAATTAAATTTTAAGTCTTTTGGTGTTTATTCCTTAAAGTTACTCTTATGGGTGAGTTTTGAAACTAGTAAAAAAACGGTGTGCCCCCTAGTGATGAGTTATGATAATATGTAATGGGTTAGTTCATCTCTTTCTACCTGTACTAATAGATTTCATTTTTTCGTGGATTGCGCGAAAAAAAATCAGGATGGACAAGATCATCCGATTATCGATTTTATTTTAGAAGAAAAAACAAAAGAGGTAGAACAGTCTATGGCGTCAATTTTGGCGTTCGTTTCAAATTAGATAAGTAAAAAGTAAACTTATCGTTGCTAGACAAGTACCAAAGTATTTTGAATGTAGTGATTAAACTGATCGGTATAATTAAAAGTGAAATAATACTGCCAAAGGCTACAAAAAGAATACATGTTTGGGTTTGGCAAATGCTTGTACCTACTCGTAGCTATTATATAAAATTGTAAGTTTTTATTTTTATTCTTATTTTCATTTCGTAGTTATTTTTCTTTTTTTTTTTTAATGTTAGCGAATTTAATGTGATTAATAATAAATAATTTTGTATTAATATTCGTCCACTTATTTATAACAATAAATAAAAATTGGTTTAATTATTCCACAGTAGGTTTTTCGCCAAGTCCCAAAGGTATAATAAGTGTTTAAAAATACTAGGTAATAACTTTAGGTTTCCATGGCTGGTGTCGTTGGTACAAGTTGGTTTTCGAGCTGCTTACGACGTCGTCCATTTGCAATCACTTAACGTTTCGAGAGATATGGTGTTCTCTTCTTTAACAGGCCATTTAAAGCAGTTTTAAGTGAAATAAATAGACAACGTGGTAGCCAGCTCGAAAATCAACCTGGTAATGTAATGGTAGCAATATTTATGTTTTTTGTGATAAATATTTAAGCAGGTGTTTCATATTTGTGATAATCGTCGAAAGCATTTACCAAGCCCCTTAAAAAAAAGCAGACACCTAATAAAATACATCAAAAAGTAGTCATTTGCAACTACTTTAATTAATTTTCAACTTCGTTTATTCAAATGTCCAAATTTTCGCGCCAACAATCGCGAAGGTTGGCTTTGAAAACGTAAAGTTTAATGCTCGTCTCTGATTGGCCGGACAATAATGGTCTTTTCAAGTGACGCTACTTTTATAGAATTTGTTTCTCGACATTAGCTCTGCAATTTTTGGAAATTTCTTATAGTAAAAGTGTAAAAATTCAATAACTTTTTATCAAAACGCGTTCTTTTAATGGTCCACTACAGGAGGTATGTATTTTTTTATTTCGCCCCCAAATGATTTTCGTTATTTTTTGAGATAAAGTTTCAATAATGTAATCCACGCCATGATCAATATTAAAATTGTGAAAAACAACGAATATATTATTGAAAACGGACTAATTTCGTTGTTTTATTACAAAACAGCACTTCTGCAAGCTTTTTTTTTTATATATTTGTTGATATTAAACTGAAAACTGAAAATTTTGATACCTAGACATCTTCGTCATGACTTAATACAAATACAACAAAATTCCAGGTTTTCGTTAGTACAAATCTTTTCTAAATGTCTTGTGAAGCAGATTTTGGTTCTCTGTTTTACTGATTTGGAGTTTGAATTTTGTAAAATTACTCATTTGTCTAAGAACATGAAGTACGAGTATTTTTGTTGTATTTTGTCTCAAATTCAGTTGCTTTACATAAAACAAAAGCATACAAAGCAGTATCATCAACAAAAGAAGGTATTCTAGTGTCAACTGTTACAACATTTTACAAATTAACCACTTGTTTTTCTTTGGTACCTGTAATATAATCAAAAACCTCTCAGTCGTATAAAAGATGTAATTTTTCATTTGTTTTCCACTTGTTATCTTACAAAATGGATTCTTAAACATTTTCTATGTCTTTATAGTAATTGGAATGGAAATTAGACTTTTTATATCAGAAAGACTTGTTCAACATAATACCAATACACGCAACACATAGATACACACACACACACACACAAATTGATTTAGAGGTTTTGACCAACAGGATGTTTAAAACCTTTTTCAAGACTTCTGTATTAAGGCCTCCACCCACTTTTAACAAGGTAGGAATTTTACACAATTGTTAATTTTAATAATATCTTTTTTAACTTTATGTATAGCAACTCAGTTGTCTTTATAAATAGAAATACAACCAAACTGGAAATATTCGTTTGTACAAATCATTTCTATTTACAATGCATAACAGACACTCAGTAATTTTTTACTTACAAGTAGTTAGAACATTGTAATAGGACTCCTTTTTATAATAACTTGAAATAGACGTACCTTTGCTATGGTTTTTCCCAAATTCACATGTTTTTCATAAAACAAAAGCATGTGAAGTAGTCAAAATGATAGATTGTCGATGTTCTTCCTTACTATCTTGCTGCTTCAATTCTGAGATGTTTCCCTTGTTTTTGCAGCAATTGGACTGAAAATTACACTTTTTTGAAATATTGGCAATACCTATACAAATTGAGTAGGAGAATGGACTCAAATGATAGAGAATTAAAGCTTTCCCTATTTCGAAAGATGTAGGATCATTTTGCATATTTACCGAGACTTATTCCCTATAGAAGGTAGGTACCTTACAAAAGAATATTACTCTTATAGGCCTCTGTTTATGTAATTATTTCGCTTTGTAACAAACTTCAATGGTTTATGTTTAGTATACAACAAATAAATTTAAATTATTTGTTGTTAATACTTAGTGAATTACAATTATGATAATGAAACAAACTTTGAAAATTTCACCAACATTTAATTAACACTCGATACGTATTTCTCCTTATAGTGCAAAATAACGAGTAACAATTATACAATAATATAAGGCGAAATACGTATACAGTGTTAAATAAATGTTGGTAATATTTTAAAGTTTGTTTCATTATAAAACAAATAAGTTGAATTATAAAGCATAATTCAACTAAATTTTAAATATTGTACCATTGTAATACATACCCTTTGTCTGGAAGGCAGACTCAGACCATCCTGCAGGTAAAATAACCAACTGGTTCCATTGAAAATAGAACATATTTTGATTTGTAAAGATAACTTATCTACAAATTGAAATAATAATATGAAAATACAAAAGAATTTAAATTTCCAATTAAAGAGGCATGAATTGTAATTCAAATGCATACCTTATCGTTGAATATCGATTCTCTCCGCCCTTTAAACGTTAATTTTGAAGACTTTTGTATTTTTATAACATCTAATTTTATCAAATATTACGAAACTAACACACCCAAACAAGAATAATACATAAACAGGAAGGCACAAACATATTAATGATCGAATTAATGATTAGTACAATTCCACTAATAACCTGCCTGCAGCGCACTCTGTGCTACAGAAGCAAACTTTGGAACAGTTCCTTCTTCAATCTTCATAAACTACCTCTTCTGAACCCAAGATGCCTCCATATTCGTTATTAATACACAGGGTGTTTCGGAAGATGTTACAAAAAATACAACTTAAACAAAAACGACAAAAAATGAAATTTTAAATAAATCATTATCGTTACATGTCGATTATTTTCATTTGTTTAATCAAAAACATTTATTGGTAATTATACTATGACTTTTAGTAGACAGCAATTGCTTTAAGCCTCTTTATTACAATACTTGCTTTTTCAACACTACTAATTAGTGGTAGTAAGGTATAATTATTTTAATTATCAGCAAGGAGGTCTTTAAAACGACTAAATGTACTTTTTGTTGTTGTTGACTTGTTATTAACTGGTTCTTTTGTTTCAGATTGAAAAAGTACCATGGTTAATTGTGACAATTAGAAGTTAAATAACATTATCGATATTTTATGATGAGATCAGAAAAGTACTAAAGTAATAAATTGTGTCACTACTGATAAGATATTTCTCGATGTTTCCCCCCTCCCCCCTCCAAGCAACACGGAGAGGATGAGGACCGTGGACATCCAACGCTGGATAGATTAAGGTTTCGGTGAACCCTGTCAGGTCTAGCCGACGCCGAAAAGTAAGTCACTAATGAATTTTGTTTCAAATAGACCTGAGTGGCAAGCTTTTATATATGTATTTGTATTTCTATTTTTGATTTTTATTATTTTGGGGTTAATTTGATTTTTGTGCCCAATAAGGGAAGTTACAAACTGTAACTTGGTGTATTATTGGGCTCCCCTGCTGGTCCATTATCCCATTGTGTTAGGGACCGACGTGTGCAGGTGCTGCGCCTGTGACGTCAAACTTTGATTCTTATTTGGCTTTTATGATTATTAGTTGCTGGTTTAGGTCCATTATAAGGTGCTATATGCATATCTGTTATTGTTTTTTGGTAAGACGATGCTACAAGATGGAGAACATTTAAAATATATACAAGGTGTTTTGTCCTCGCTGTCATCAGGTTGTTGTGTTCCACATACATATATACCGCGTACACACATTTATTTTTTACAGGTTTGTTATGTATTATGTGTGTTTACTTGTCACTCGTTGGGTCTATTTGATATTTTTTTCAGCTAGTGCAACCAGGAAGACGGCGTTGCTCAAGTGTTAAGTGTTAGCGCGCAGGTATAAGGTATTATACCTTCTTCTGGCATAACAGTGGCGTGTTCGCGAATCGGGTTAGAGGGTTTAGAGCTGGCGCGAACTTGAAATGATAAATGCGTATGATAATTTTTAAAGTAAAACTGATTTTTAGAAACTTTAACGAATACTAAAAATTGCGTTTTCGTTCAAATTTAAGATAGATTCCTGACCTTTACTTTTAAATTACATTGTTTTTTTCTAGGGTGGCGGTCAAATAATTGAACAACTTTTTGTTTTTTGTTGCGTTACGGTTTATTCAGTCATCTTCAGACGTTTAAAGTGTTACTGCTTGTACACAAATATTAACTTAATTTTAAACATTCTTACATGTTCAAGTATAGCATACTTTATACTATACTGTATTTTATACTTTATACTATACTGTATATTGTATACTGTGTACAGTAGTTTAACATGAAAAAATGTTAAAATTATGTTAATATCTGTGTACAACCAGTAACACTTTAAAGGTCTGAAGATGGTTGAATAAACCGAAATGTAACAAAAAACATAAAGTTGTTTAATAATTTGACAGTCATCCTGGAAAAAAACAATATAATTTTCATTTAAATTCAACCAATTTTTAATTTTGCCACAACTTTGTTGTTCCTTTTTTAATGATTAATGTGATGATGGGGTATGTAAAGTAATATTAAATTTTGTACAGAAAACAGGAATGTGTTTTAAAACACGTGTTTTATATACTGTTTAAAACACAATCTAAATAAAACATGTCTTAAATTAAAGTGTTTTAAACAGTATTTTAAACTGTGTTTAAAAAAAATTAACATCACACATTAAACATTATTTAAATTCCTTCGCCTAGGGTAAAAGTACTCATTGGTTATAATAATAATTGAAAAAGACGTCTCTTATCTCTATAGGTATTTTCAAAACACAAATAGTTAATGGCGTCAACAGGCCACGATAAAAAAATTGCTAAAACCAGTTTAAAACTTTTAAAACATGTGTTTAAAATAAGTGTATAAAGAATTGTTTAAGACATATAAACACACGTTTAAAAAGTTTTGAACTGTTTGCTTCATACATTTAATAAAAACCAACATTAATACTATCGTCGGCGTATTTGCAAAGAAACATATTTAATATTTAAATAAAATACATGAAAGTTTCAACAATAAAAATATAGTGAAACAACTCTACAATTTTTTCGACCTATTTGGTCATTATCAAGAGTACAGAAAAATGTTACATACAATTGTCGCGTTGTTTTATTATATTATATTATATATGTATATTTTAATAAAAAGTGTTTTTATTTTATTACCCTGCAAACCCCATAATTACCCATCTATTAATTATTTACTTTTGTGTTCGCTTGTAAATTAGCTATTTCATTTTCCCTGTTGCGGTTTAGTCATAGGCGTTCGTCCAATGGGCACACGGGTGCTCACAAATCTCGTTCTCGTTCTCGTCTAACCGCCACTGTTGCCTCATTAATTACAATGTCGTAATGACCACCAACCACACTACACTTTTTATTCCAAATTTTATTCTCAATTTACATTATGTTAATTATCAACTGTCATTTATTCTGATCAACGTGCTCTTTCAAAATTTCATTTTTACCAAATAATGTTGAACTTGTAACTTTTGATTTTTATTACCATCTAAATCACACACCAACACACTCCCAGTAAGTCTTAGACTTATTGAATTTACAATCAAACAGACATATACACACATTTAACATATCTAAACTTAATAATTACCCCCACTTAAGGGTAATGAAGTAAGTACATATGCAATGCAACCTTTTACTAATCTACTTGTGAATTTTTTATAGCATGAACGGTAAGTTAAATTAAAAACTTTCCATCCAATCAAATATCTTTTTAAACGACGATACTAACCTTGTTATCTTTTTTCTTTTTCAGCTCTTCGTGGACCACTGTCCTTGTCTTCACATCATGCGTTCGTTCTTTCTCTTCCCTCTTGGAAGAGAAAATCTACCAATCAACACAATCACACACGATCACACAAATCGTTAAAATCGCGATCAAAGTATTTCTCTTTCCAACTTTCTTACGTTATTGTCTATTTGGGTTGCTTGTTGTTCGCTCAAAATATTAGTTCTCCATCCTCACTCAAATGATAAATGGTTTTGTTGTGGTTCTATTGTCCCAAGTCTCGATTCGTTACAGGTTGGTTCTACAAGGGCAATGGTCTCCTCAGTTCTCTATTAAAATCTACTGGAGGGCACCTTGTGCGGTATATTATAAGCGTTCACATATGATGAAAACTCAGATGAGAAACCCCTTGGATCAGTTCAAAATAGTTGTTTTATTGAAAAGACTTTTTTCCATTAAACAACTGAGAACTAATCCAAGAATTCCTCTCATCCTATTTTTCACCATAAATTAATATAAGATCAACATCATATTGACTTATGATGAAAACTCAGATGAGAAACCCCTTGGATTAGTTCAAAATAGTTGTTTTATTGAAAATACTTTTTTCCATTAAACAACTGAGAACTAATCCAAGAATTCCTCTCATCCTATTTTTCACCATAAATTAATATAAGATCAACATCATATTGACTTATGATGAAAACTCAGATGAGAAACCCCTTGGATTAGTTCAAAATAGTTGTTTTATTGAAAATACTTTTTTCCATTAAACAACTGAGAACTAATCCAAGAATTCCTCTCATCCTATTTTTCACCATAAATTAATATAAGATCAACATCATATTGACTTATGATGAAAACTCAGATGAGAAACCCCTTGGATTAGTTCAAAATAGTTGTTTTATTGAAAATACTTTTTTCCATTAAACAACTGAGAACTAATCCAAGAATTCCTCTCATCCTATTTTTCACCATAAATTAATATAAGATCAACATCATATTGACTTATGATGAAAACTCAGATGAGAAACCCCTTGGATTAGTTCAAAATAGTTGTTTTATTGAAAATACTTTTTTCCATTAAACAACTGAGAACTAATCCAAGAATTCCTCTCATCCTATTTTTCACCATAAATTAATATAAGATCAACATCATATTGACTTATGATGAAAACTCAGATGAGAAACCCCTTGGATTAGTTCAAAATAGTTGTTTTATTAAAAATACTTTTTTCCATTAAACAACTGAGAACTAATCCAAGAGTTTCTCTCTTCGTGAGGGCGCGAAACACGAACGGTAGGCGCGGCGGAAAAAACCGCTCGAAATGAAATATAATAATTATTACAAATATAAACTATAGGCAACGAAGATGATAGCGCGAATAGAGAAGGCTACAAATGAAGAAGCATTCGAAGGAGTAGAAGATCAGAGGACCGTTTTGGAAGTCAATAAGAAATGCACGAACTAGATTGGTGGGATGGCATAGTATTATGATGAGAACATAAAACTATCAAGACGATTAGAATCTCAAGAACATTTAAGAAGTTGGGGAAATCTGGGGATGAATGAAGCGACGTCGTATTTATTCTAAAAGGACTTCAATCAACCACCAGGTGTATTCTGTCAGGTTTCTGGAAGGATGACATCATTTTGAATAGTAATTTCGACACTAACTAAGGTTAAATTAGAAAGACTTCATTTGCTCTCTGGAAATTAAAATTGTATATTTAGGAATTCAAATTAAACGTGTTGAGGGCCGCAAAACAGTAGATGAATTTGCGGGGGTGGTGGAGGGACTCAACCGCCGAGGGAAGGAACTGAAGCAAATGTAGAAATTTTCCTTTCAATTGAGTTTTCCTTATTTTGATTTGCATAATGTAAAGCTGTCAAGATGTTGTCG